ACAGACTGATGAATGAACAGAAAAAAGATCTTAAAATCTAGACAACCAAGACATAACCCAAAGTAATGACCTGTTTGCTGATAACCACTTCCCTTAACCTGTGACTTAACCTTCCTCTGGTTAAGCAATGCTTGTTGTTGATGGGCCAGGCTCTCAAAATGAGGCAGGATTATGCATAGAGAAACTGTTGTGTATACCTGCTTCTCATTTCAGTTAATGTAGTGAATGGTCTGTACTTGAGCCTAAAGCTAGAAAAATACGCACAGTTAAAAAAAAAAAAGTAACTGCTTTGATTGATCATCCAGGTTGTAGCAGTCCTGCCATTCTGACCCAGGGAAATCGTGACATTTCTCCATTTTGTTTCCAAGGTCTTTTTCTGTTCTCTCCCGGGATGACTGTGAGATGAATTCTGGGGAACACGCAAATAGTTACCTGTATTTGAAAGGTTAGAGGTGAGGGGATAGGACACAATGTTAAAAAAAAGCTGGGGTGCTACAACTCAGGCTACATTGTTGAATGCCCTTCTGCAAATTAAAGCAAGCATGTTCACACAAATGCTGCCGAAACACCAGGCCTTGGCGCTGGTTGCTATTGGACACCTGTGCTGCTTCTATTTTTTAAACAACATTACTTTGTTAAGGAGGAATCTGTGTCATTTTATGGCTCTCGTCATTTTAGTGTAATGATCAAGAAGGAAAAATGAAACCGCTTTGTGCAGAGAAACAGATAAGATAAGAAGGCATTTTGTAACCCAGAGTGCAAAGCTGTCCGGAGTACAATTCAGATCTATCAATAATTCGGTTAAAAGAGCTCACCTGCTTTACATGAGTGGGTTCACTGATCATTCAAGTTCATACTGAAGGTATTTAACTGTGGGCTGCACATTGCACCTCACAGACCAAAGAGTTACAGACTTTTTTTTTTCCCAGATGAAATCTACAAGTGCAAATTGATTGCAGCCAAACATAAATTTAGTTAAATCTTTAATATACTCTATTATGGTTTGAATAAGACTTTAAAGCCTTGTCCTAGCTACAGAGTGCCTGAGACTACAGTTGAGACAATTGTCAATAGCCAGAATTATTAAGTTCTGGACGTGGGGTTTATGCTCAACACTGTAGCATCAATAGTAATGACTTTTTACCAAGTGTGAAAATGAGCAATTATCTGTCATTCTAAAAGGCAAACCTGACACGAGGGCTCATTTGGTTTTCTTTCTCAAAGTTTACCTCTGTTAAAAATGTTCACAGGCACCTGTTGCATGTTTGTCATTGGTTGTACTTGCACGGCTAGTGCTCTGTTTCCTCAGAATGTAATTATCTTTCAAAGCACAAGAGGAAAATCCATAGTCATTTTCCAACCTCCAGTTGAGGTAAGGGAAGTAGATGGCAATAGCCCTGTTGTGTATCTGCTATTCCAGAAGAACCAGAAAAAGTATAGGACAGGAAATACAAAATATACACCTTTATGCTTTCAGAATTGGTAGGCTCTTTATCACCTGGGGTTTCGTTCTGTGAAAGCTTTTGTTTGAAGAGTGGATGAAGGTGTTCTGCTTTCTTAGTTAGGAATGAATATTCGCAAGCTTGATCAGGATTCAGCACTGCCTGCATCGTATAAACATAGGCTATGGTGGGTGGGGGACTTCCTTGGTTTGCCATCACTCTGGCTTTGTGGCACAGAAAAGGACAATGACAGGAGCATGAGGCAGGAAAAAGGAAACCTTGATACTTTAGGGAAGGACCATGAAGGCTTAACTTGTGCTGGCCAGTTTCACAGCCACATTTCTCTGACAATTAAGATGTATCATAAAGGCAGAAGCCACAGAAAGACTTGGACAAAGTATGAAAAAACAAAGTCCATGCAGCTCTTCATTCACTTTTGTTTTTCTTCATTAACTTTTATATTCACCACATGTTCAAATTACATGTTAAATTAGATTACATGTATATTAGATAAAATAATTTTTAAACTGGATTTCACCGGCCTTTTTCCTTTTGGGATGTGATGGCTCAAAGGTATTGAATGACGTACAGGACTTCCATTACATATTCCCTGAGGAGAGGTTTATTTCACATGGTGGAGTTAGGATGAGTGTTTGCATTCTCAGTTGTGTTTCTGTAGGTTTCAAACTGCAAATAGGAGAAACAATAGTGTTTTTTGAAAGTGATATCCTGGATTTGGACATCTGGTAAGTGTATTTGTTGGCTATGGCCTCTAGGCAGCCACCCTTCTCTCGGTTTCGGCTTCCTCGTTTGTCAAATGACGAGGACTGCTTTGTCCTCCACAGGTCGAAGCTCACCAGGCTCTTGTCAGAAATGAGGAATGCATGGGAAATTTCCTGCCAGTGCTTACCACAGACACCAGCAGAGAGAACACTCGATAAATATTCAGCATTATTCTTGGTTACATTTCAAAGCTTGTCAGACGCATGATTCTTTAATCCTGGTCCATTTCTAATTCATGTCCTCATCTCTGTTGTGTTTTAAGTTTCCACTTGTTATCCTATCTGCTTACTTCTTCACCCAGGCAGCTGAACTTTCTCTTTTCTTTAATCATTGGGACTCTCCTTTGGCTCTCTGTTTTCTGCCACTTGTTCATGCTGAGCTACCAGTTCCCACTTTGCAATTTCAGGTCATTTTGGTTTCAGAAGAAAAATCAAGCCATGCTCACTATTTGCCCCTGTTCCCTGCTTCCTACTTGGATATTGGATCTTGTTAACTGAACTTGGCTTCTTTCAATGGAATGATCAGTCAAGGGCAATTGGAAATAAGATGGTGCAAGGGGTAAGCTCACTGAAGAATAAGGGTCATGCAGAGTTCAAAAGAATGAGGAGCTAATGCGGGACAAAAGAAAAGGTACTTGGCAGCTTCTCTTCCTTTGCCCCTCAATTCACTTTCTTATCTCAATGTTGTCTTTAAAAGCAGGGGCATGTTCCATGCAATGCACATGCACGGTACTTCTCACGACCTTTCTAGAGTTTCACAACTTAAATTACAGGTTCCTACCATGTGCCATTGTGCACAAAGGAAAATATACTTGATTTCCATATTATGGGAAACAAGTTGTCAGATAAAAATGCCTGTACTTCTTCTATGAAATTCAGAGATACAGAAGATGAAAAAGGAAAAAAGAAGTGCAGTCATGTAGTTTCTCTAGGTATAGAAGGCTTTCAACTTCTTAACAATCAATGAGACGAATGCTCTCCATCAGAGCTGCAGGAGATGAAAACAAGCAGTGAGAATTAAAAAATGAATTTGTAATAGCACAGGTGGCTGGAAGCACTAGTGCCTCTCAAAACAGTGAAAAAAGCCCCCGATTTGTTAGACATGTAGTATTTGTGTTTTAAATCACCATGGTGTTGATTCCTTTTTCATTGTTCCTTTCCGGCAGCTATAAACAGGTGATTCAGAACACAGTGGACTTAAGGGGGTGTATCTTGTATTTTCATCAGATCAATATTTTAGTGTAGGTTTACTGAGTGTTCACAAAGCAACAAATGCAGGGAGAAAAAAGAAGAAAAAATTAGTTTGAATTTCAAAGCTGGGGTCAGAGGATTAATAGAAGAGACTCTCAAATTAACAAAGGAGCAAAGCTTCCCAGGTTCTCCTTGCTGACAGACGAGGATTTTGGAGGATTTTGGGGGGAGAGAGTTGATTTATTTCAGGGCCAGAGGACACACACAGGAGTTCATGCCACCCACCACTAAGCAAGGGATACTTAAATAAATGTGCGCAGGACAGCCAGTGCTGGATGCATGAACGTGGCTGTTTTTCCTAGAGCACTGAATAGAATATTTATCATCCATCCTAACCAGGAAGCGATTATGGCTAACCTTGCTTCCTCTTGGCTTCCTAGAAAATCAGGTTGGAAAATTTAAGTGAATTTTCCCTATTGTTCTATTATGGTTCAAGTTTAGGAAAAGAAGGGAGCAGTCTAGAAATCCCAAATACAGCTTTATATATAGCTCTTCACACAGAGATCTGCATTCTAGGGCCTTGGGGAGTCTAGCTAACTTAGAGCAAAGACCCTGCTGATTCGCTGACTTTTGGAAGGCAGAGTCCCACTCAAGATAAACTTTGATGTCCTCTGTGATCCAACTTGTGTATGGTTTAAGGTGGCGTGGTTTGTCATCATCAGAATTGCACAAATAGCACTGATGGTGATGGCCTAATACAGAATGCAGATGCACAGGCATGCAGGCTAGTGCCCAGGCAGCCAGCATCTGATCCAGAGGGTGATGGACCTCTAGGTCTATCCTTGCTGGGCTGCACAGGTGCAGCTCAGTGCTGCAAAGGATGTGAGCATAGTCCTGGCAATACTTGAGGTCAGGTTTCTATTTTCACTTGTTTGGGGATAAAGGTTGCTTCTTCCCACAGGAAATTATAAGAAGGAGTTTATAAAGACTCAGCTATAAACCTCTGAATTATAGGCATGCACACATGTCACCCAAATGTCCCAAACATTCTTGCAGACAGGTTTTTCCTGATTCTACTCCTCCTGAAGCTCAAGGCAAAAAAAAAAAAAAAATCAGTCTTGTCAAAAACACTTCGTCAATACTAAAGAGACACGACTTCATTTGACTGAAAAATATCACTGGATCCTCTTTGTGCATTGCTTAACATACAAATACAGTTTCATCTAATATGGCTATCCTGTACATACACATCAATTTCTGTAAACCCAAAAGACAACACCGGATTTATGGACAACATATTTTTCTGGATATGCAAACAACAACCAAAACATTTTAAAAATTAACAGGCATCAACAGGTATGAACACACTTAATGGTCTGTAACACAGCTAACTCCCTTCGCCCAAGGCTTAAATTCTCTTTCACTAGTGGCAAAAGGCGCTGTCAAGCACAGCATTGAAAAATTGGTACCATTTCCTAGCCTGTAAGCACAGAGCAGAAGGGCTAAATAGTTTATGGTTTTTATTTTATTTTTGTTCTCATGCTGGGTTTTTGTTTTGTTCTGTTTTCCCTTCTTGCCTGCTCAGGGCTGATCGTTGTGACACTGGCCGTGTGTTGGATGCCAAACCAGATTCGGAGAATCATGGCTGCAGCCAAACCCAAGCTGGACTGGACAACGTCTTACTTCCAGGCATATATGATCCTTCTGCCCTTCTCCGACACCTTCTTCTATCTGAGCTCCGTGGTCAATCCGCTGCTGTACAACGTGTCCTCGCAGCAGTTCCGCAAGGTATTCGGGCAGGTGCTGCGCTGCCACCTGTCTGTGCCACACGCCAACCAGGAGAAGCACCTGCGTGCCCACAGCCGTGCCACCGCTGACAGCGTGCGCTCCGCCCGCAGCCCTCTCATCTTCCTGTCCTCCCGGCGCGGCTCTTCGGCCAGGAGAACTAACAAGATTTTCCTGAGCACCTTCCAAAGCCAGGCCAAGCCCGAATCGACGCCGACCCCTGAGCCAGCAAGTGTGGAGTCACCACTACCCAACTCGGAGGCGAAACCAGATAGGTTGGCGGCAGAAAATGGTTTACAGGAGCGAGAATCGTGAACGTCAAGGAACGAAAGCCTCAGGTGGAAACCGGCCCTCCCTTCCCACTAAAGCAATTCCCAAATAAACTGGGCCCCTGGCAGAGACAGAACGGAGGCTGAGGGCATAGACAAAGGCAGGTGCAAACCTTGGTGACGTCCAAGGGCTGCATCTAGCAGCCTGGCCTTGACTCTGGTCACAGAGAGAGAGGTGGGGGAGGCAGAATTTCCACTCTGCCCCTTTCCTTCAAGTACACACTGAGAATTCAAGACTGGATTTATTCAGAGCTTACAAAAACTGTTGCCACACAGACCTCTCACGGTTTGTACGGGAACAAAAGGAAAACGCACAGTCCCCGCCCTGCCCAGCTTAAAAGCAAACCCAGAGAAAAACGTAGGGAGGCGTGGGGAAGCGAGGTGCGCCATGCAGGGGGCGCAGCTCCGTGCGCTTCAGCAGTGAGCCAGGAAGAGCACTAACTGGAGGAGCAGGGCGGCGGTGGTGGGAAGCCCCGGCCTGAGCGCCGACGCAGAGCTGCCCCTCTTCTTGGGCCTGGGCCCGTTGCAAAGAGGCGTGTTGCAGCAGCTTATGCACACTGAGTTCAGTTTCCCTGGCGAGCAGAAGGACTGGTACCCGGCCGAGGCGATGAGGCAGGCCGCTGATGATGCGCATGACTTGCGGTACATGATCCCTGAAACAGAGACCCAAAGGAGCTGGGTTAACCACCGAGGGACGGTGTCCCCTGGAGCTGGAGGAGGGTGGGGCGGGCAGATTCCTAAGGAAAGCTCTGTCCCAGGTTTCCCACTACCCTGGTGGGACCCAGCAGGTGCTTTGTGCTAAGTTTCCTGGATTCGACAAACCACTGACAGGCGACTACATTTGATAAAAACTGCTCAAAAAGCGATTTTAGATGTCAATACTAGTGAATAAAGAGCTTGAAAATTGAAGTCTCGTTTTTTCTCCTTTTAAGTTAAACTTCAAACTGTGTACAAGATACTCAATTGCTCGTGTTGGTTTGTTGTTGCTTTTGTTTGTTTTGGGTTTAACTTATCCTATGCCAGCGAAGACTACAAGTGAGCTTGGAGATCCTGTCTCTGGTATTCCCATTCAACTCACTGTGGAGCCATGGGTCTCAACCATGTGTTTATTAAACCCTAGAACTCACTTATTCAAGGGCCTCCCTGTATTCCAGGCACTGTTCAGATGCGACTAGTCCAGTGTTTGTGGGTTTACCAGCTGTAGCATCCCTACAGGGGAAGTCCTCGGGATCATCATTCTTCAAAGAAGCAGCCAGAAGGCCAGCAACTTTGCCCCGGGGTCACGTCAGCGAAAAGAGGAGCCTCTGGGATTTGAAAGTCTCATTCTGCCGATGACAGTTCACCAAAACCATGATGAGGTTATATTAGGGGAGGAAGGGGAATAGCTTTAGTCAGAAGTTATTGTGTGTGTGTGTGTGTGTGTGTGTGTGTGTGTGTGTGTGTGTGTGTGTGGCTAGTCGACGACTTACTTTCCTTGTGGGTATATTTTAATACTGAAGTTGGCCTTGGAAGTGAACTAAGTCTTTTGGCTGCCCCACACAGCTTTGGGCTATAACATATGGCCCCACTTCTGGGACTTTTGTCCCCTAATTCCCAGGCAGGTGTGTGGGGAGGTGTGCCTTTGCTTTCGGCTCTTGCTGCATTGATTGAAATTAAGTGGCCTGAAACTTCCAAATGAGTGTGGTGAAGGAAAACTTCAGGTTTACCTTCAAACATGCAATTTTATGCCACTCTTTCTTTACAACAAGGAGCTTGTAAAGACCAATTACTTCACAACCTGTTAGGAAATCCTAGAGGGGAGCTGCTCCGATAAGACACAGTCTGAGTGCAGGGATGCAGGTCCAGGACAGACGCTGTTCCATTTCTAAGGAGAATGTTTCAGATATTCTCTGCACTTGCTGCCCGTTGCCTCTGTAGGAAGTGTGACTCACTGGCTTTTACTCTTAAATATTAAAAACACACTCACTGGCTACTTCAGCAACCAATAAGTTTTCTCCTTTAAGTGAATTTTCTTAAAATTTGAGAATACTTGTTGGATATATTCCTTTGCTGTGTAAAACTACAGACAGACAAGGTGAAGATGCCCCCTTGACAAACCCTGCCAATCTGAGGCCCCCTCAGCATTACCTCTGAGGCTCATGGCTGCTGTGCATCTGACATGCCTCCTTCCAGACCTGAATCTATCTAATTACACATTCACTACAGGGAAAATAAAATGTGTGTGTACATTTGCTCATGGTGTCACATCTTATATGATGTACTAGAATTTGTGATTTTTACTTAACTACGTGACTGGGAGGTGCTTGGTTTGGTTGGTTTGGTTTGGTTTGGTTTGGTTTGGTTTGGTTTGGTTTGGTTTGGTTTGGTTTGGTTTTAGGTGAAGAGAGAGAATAAGCCATGTCAGGTCAAAGCCATGACCCAGGAACTCCATCCAGGTTTTCCCAGGGATGCTAGAGACCCAAGTGCCTGAGCCATCATCTTCTGCCTTCCCAGGCATATTAGCAGGAAGCTGGCTTGGGAGCAGATGTGGGACCTGATCTCATATACTCCCATATGGGTCGTCAGCATCCCAGCAACAGCTTAACCTGACTGTATCCCAGTACCTGTCCCTGGGAACTTATTTTTAAGACTACCTTTGCAGGTTAAGGATCAGTTGCCAGAAATAAGTGGGTGAGCCTGTGCGTTAGCCTAGTTAAATCCTTGTCTTGTATGTGTCAGGATCCATATGGGTACCAGTCCCTGTCCTGGCTGGTCTACTTCCCATCCAGCTCCCTGCCAGTGGCCTGAGAAAGGAGTAGATGATGGCGCAAAGCTTTAGGGCCCTGAACTCGTGTGAGAGACCAGGAAGAAGCTCCTGGCTACTGGCTTTTGATCGACTCAACTCCAGCTGTTGTGGCTACTTGGGGAATGAACCAGCAGATGCGAGATCTTTCTTTCTGTTTTTCCTTCTCTCTCTGCCTTTCCAATAAAAATAAATAAATCTTAAAAAGAGGAACAAACAGAAATGATCGGGTAAAGAAGAGGAGAGCTGTGGCCCCATGCAAGTCTCAGGGAATCTCAGGTTGTCATCTCATGCACTGACAACACAGAAGGCATTCTAAAGTGAAGGACTGCGACCACTGTGGAGATGGGGGCATCCCTTGTGGGTGCTGAGAGGGAAGACATAGAGAAATCCAAAGGGGTCTGCTACCAGACAGGTGTGTTCAGGGACTGGTAAGGCCCCAAAGGAATGAGAGCGCCAGATCGGTCCCTTCTCCAGAGCCCTGAGTCCACACAGTACAAGTACAAGTCCGGAGGCCAGAATGCACTGGGTGAGACTGGGTGGAATTAGAGAGATTCCAAATTAGATGGAGGAGATATGCAATCCTCAGGCACCAAAGCCAGTGGTGGCAAACTAACTGCTAGGTGTGAATGGGACTGGAATCGAGACATTCAAGACACACATGGGTGCTCAACCTCTAGAATGTTGGGGGAGGGAAAGGCAGCAAGCAGGAGGTGTTGAACCAGGAGACATGGGGCAATTCAAGACTTAAAAGGCATTTGGGAAATGTCAGAGTTGTTTACTCATGCTTTTGGCTGACATTCACAAGGTGCCCCTGGAATATATGTGAAGGGTGAAGTGAGGAGACTGGGGTACGATAACTGAGAACCTGAAACCTGGAAGTGGAAAGACATCATCCCTTCCAGGGCCTCAAAGAAAAAAAGATGCATATTCTAGTCCATTCCAGAATGTTCTACAGGCCAGGAGAGATGGATATAAGGGACATGGATGGTCTTGGGGACTACCGATTGTTTACCTGGGAGAATGTGGGACTGAATATCACAGAGAGGGATCCGTGGTGTAGTGCAATGAGCTAAACTGCTAAGCTGCCTTTTTTTTTTTTTTTAGATTTATGTATTTTTATTGGAAAGGTGGATATACAGAGCGGAAGATTTTCCATCTGATGATTCTCTCCCCAAGTGACCACAACTGCTGGAGCAGAGCCAGTCCAAAGCCAGTAGCCAGCAGCTTTTCTGGGTCTTCCATGCAGGTGCAGGGTCCCAAGTCTTTGGGCCATCCTCGATTGCTTTCCCAGGTCACAAGCAGGGAGCTGGATAGGAGTAGGGCCACCAGGATTAGAACCGGTGGCCATATGGGATCCAGGCTTCTGCAAGGCAAGGACTATAACCACAACACTATCATGCTGAGCCCTAAGCTGCTCTTTTCAATGCTGGCATTCTGCATCAGAATGGGGATAGCTGAGACTCCAGCCAGCATTCTGCTAATGGACATGGTTAGGCCCAAGTACATAAATCACTATCATTGTAATGAGAGGCCAGGATGGAGTCCCTGGCTTCCGGTTTAGCATGGCCCATATCTGAACCAGTAGATGGAAGATCTTTCTCTACCTCCCCTCTGCCTTCTCCACTTTTCAAATAAATGAAGAAATAGTTTTTAGAAAAGAAATAAGTAAGGAAGATAAAGAAAGAGAGAAAGAAGAAAGAGACAGGAAGGAAGAAGGAAAGGAAAGGAAAGGAAAGGAAAGGAAAGGAAAGGAAAGGAAAGGAAAGGAAAGGAAAGGAAAGGAAAGGAAAGGAAAGGAAAGGAAAGGAAAGGAAAGGAAAGGAAAGGAAAGGAAGGTAAAATCATATCACACAGGCTGCCAAACAGCTTTGAGGAAAATTCCCCTTGGTTTAGCCATTAACAAAACAAAACAAAACAAAACAAATCCAGTGACCTATGTAGAAACACAGGAGAGAACCTGGCAGGGCAAGGGGTGGGATCTATAGAACAGGACTTCAACCAGAGGGACACAATTTCACAGCTGTGTGGGGTGGGCGTGCTGCAGCTGAGAACTACTGACCAATTCCATTACTCATATGCTCAGTAGAATGCATTCCAAGTGGGTCTTTGATTTAAATATTGGTGGGGGAAAACACTACAAGTACTAAGAGACATTTTGGAACCCTAGGAGATTTCTTTGATCATGGAGAAACAGCAAAGGCTATTTTCTGACACAACAGTCTGAAGTCATTACAGAAAAGATCGATGCTTTTGACTACACAAAGTTACCCCCCCCCCCCAAATTCAGTCTAATAAAATCCTTACAAGTAAAGTAAAAAGAGAAGTGAGATAGTGGATAAAATATAACTGTGACTCACATCACAAAGAACAGGCTTCCTTCATATGTAATACGGGCTTAGAAATAAGTAGGGAATCAATAATAAATCAGTGAGGAATAAATAAGTAATAATGTATCTGTAAAAAGGTGCAAGTGAACAGATAGTTCATTGGAAAGGAAAGAGAAAGAGCTTTAAAACACCTGAAAGACACCCTGGCATTTGTAAAGAGAAATGCAAATGACGACACTGAGGTGCCATTTGTATTTATCACTTGGGCAAAGATCAGAAAGTTTATTGGCAGGGCCAGAGTTCAAGGCATTGCATGGCCTGCAATGCAGGCATCCCACATTAAGGTGTTGGTTCAAGTCCCAGCTGCTTCATTTCCCATCTAGCTCCCTGCTAATGCACTTGGGAAAACAGAGGAGGATGATCCAAGTGCTTTGGTGCATGCCCTAACGTGGGAGATGTCGATGGAGCTCCAAATTCCAGCTTTGGCTTGGCTCAGCCTCAGTGGTTGTAGACTTTTGAGGGAGTGAGCCTATGGACGGGA